ATGAGTCTGATAGGGTTCATTTTGCCAATATACACTTTATGATAAGATACAATGTAAAGTCACCATTTGAGTAAAATTTATTTCCTGATGATTAACTTCATCTCTTAAGAGCCACACACTTGTCCAACACAACCTCTCCGTATGAGGCAGCAATAAACAATATAGCATGACAAACCAATTATCAAAAAAGAAGCATCTGACATCATTCACTTCAATGATGTTCAAAAAATCTCCATGGCTTGAGTCCACAAGCGAACTATACCGACCAAGCAATTGCTGCTTGTTGGCGAAGTTAGTGCCAACTTTAGCGGCTAGAGGGTGTCCCATGGTCAGCATAATGAATCCCCACGGCATTAATTTCGGTTTTCTAGACTTATTTCCTTGAAATAGCTCCTCAGTTATCCTCACGAGGCTGAGTGGACCCCGTTCCAGTTCCACTACTTCTCTGAAAATCTGGTAGCGCCAGGAATCGAACCCAGGACCTCTGGATCTGTAGCCAGGAACTCTGACCACTAGACCACAGAGGCAATCCTCAGTGTTAATATTATATAAATTTGAACCTTTCATAAATATCTCTTCAAATACTTTGTTCTTATATACAGCTGTTCCCTTCCATATCTGGTACCCCTCTCCAGGCAGTCATGTATGACCCAGATGTGTCAGAAATTTTAATGGTATTTAACATGCAGAAAATAAAATCAGAAATACTCTCATGGTGACTTCAGATATTTTAAAATGTATCATGGGTGGTAACCACTAAATCACAACATTTGCCTCACCCATTCTCTCACTGCCATGAGTGAGTCACATAAACCAGTGGTTCTCAAATTCTTTTAGACTGCAGTTACCTCAATATGGACAAAAAAGACCCAGACCCTCCAACCTAAAAGTGACCAAAAAAGTGATTGAGGAATTTAATCCAGAATGTTGTTATCAGCCCACTTTTCAGTGGCTCCTGGTAAAAGCATCACAGCTCCCTGGAGGACCATGGCTCCTACTTCTGGAAACACTGACAAAATCAATGAAAATTACACATAAGAAGATATGTTTAGTAATATAATTACCTATAACTTCATCCTCTTCACCTCCTGTGGAGTCTTGGTCACTACTCAGTTCTATAGAGCCTTCTAGTGGTTGTTTCTCAAAATTCTTTCCAAACAAAAGCACATCGGCATTCACTAAGTCATGTTCTGTATTCGAAGAACCTGAGTCACTTACTTTACTACCTACTGATGAAGCGTCATTTGCTTCGTCTGAGACTGGGACTGCACTCTCAGACTTCGCTGTTTGTGTAGCACTACCACAGTATTCAGTCTTGCTGCCTTCACTGCTTTCTTCATTAACTTGGGGTTTCATTTCAGAATCTTGTGATGTGTTTTTGGTTTCAGTAACACTAGGCAGTCTCTTGGCTGACTGTGATTTCTTTTCACCTCTGCTGTCCCTGCTCCTAGGTCTTCTCCTCAATTTTCTGACACTCCATTTCCGAACTGATAGCTGGCGTGATGATCGGTTATCAGGAGATGTGGACTCTTCGTTTAATGAAGGCAATATTGATAACTGTTTAACAAATCGATGTTCAATATACTTTGCTTTGATCCATGCTTCTCGAATGTTTCTAAAAATAAAGTAAGGATAAAAATAATTCTGTGCGGTTTGTGTGAATTCTAATACTAGAGAGTTAGTCAAACTGAAGCAATTTACTTATTCCTATGGAAAGGAATCTCTGTTAAGGACTTTCTTCTTCACTTTATCTTAAGGACAGAGCTTTCACAGAAATAACAATTTTCTTTGCTAACAGTGTTGGATATATTTACATTTCATAACGCCACTTTAGTTATCATTTTTTCAAAGCTCTCTGTTTTTCAAGGGCGAGCAGAATATATAGGTTTCTCAGAACAGTCACACTCACCTATAGACAAAAAGGCCTATGTCTGTTCATTAAAGTGCATGTACATTCATCACTCTGCAAAGGTTCTACATTCAGGAGGTCTTGTCCCATTTCATATTCTTAAATATAAAAAAGGTACAGTTCTCTCTCTGTTTAATTAAGCACCTCACCATAAGAAATTTCATATTTGTAATCTTAACAATATTGCATCCTGCTTGTGGGAGCTTATAACGGGATGCTGTTTACCAGCACACAAACTTCATTTCCACAACATTTTTAAGTCACTAATGATAATGATGATGTTTAGACTTTGCTGATATATATTGACATGTGTTAGTGACCACAGGAACAGAATGTGGATAGGTGATTGGATTTACTGAACATGTACAACTCATAATGACAAACAGTTATAACACTGTCACTAATCTACACATTTAATGAATCACTGCAGCGCATGCTAAGTTGCAGTCTGTCATGTCTTTGATAGTCGTTGTTCAGTCGTTGTGTTCACTAGACGTCGCTAGGTTACAGTTACTAACCATGGAGGTTCTTCTGCATCAGTGATCATTTCCTCACTCACTGGCAATCATTGACTCACTGCTAAATTTCTGCTGGCCCTTGCCAGCAGTGTGTTCTTTGATCTGAGTCCCACAGGACTCATGAACACATTTTGCATTCTGATGGCTCTAGGAGCCTTCACTTGCTATCCACTGGCTTGGAGACTCTAGTTATATAGCCTCAGCACAGACCACACAGGAAACACTGTTCCAAACAATCTCTTCTATTGATTTGTGCATCCCGATAGCCATGGATGTGTGTTTAGGGAGCAGTAACCAAGCAATGGCTATCTTTCAGACATTACACATGCACACACACACACAATCAAATAACTTTATAAAATTAATGTCTTTGCAATTTGTGTGATTTCTGTGTGATTTTACATGTATATCCACTCAATGATTGCCACTTAGTGGCTGAAACCTATCATGGAACTGACTACGCACATAAATAAAGCTTGTGTGATGGTATACAGTGATCATTAATGTTTTTACCTTATGAAATTATTTCACACTTCATTAATACTTTAAAAATTTCTTCACAGATTGCACACTAAGAGAATGCATTTATTTATTGGTTAATGCAGTAGATGGGTGCCTCAGAAATATTACATTAATAAAAAACAAGCCTAACAATAATTTTACTGTAATAATCCATATTAAAGAGAAGATAACTTTCCTGAGCAATGTTGAAAAACTGGTGCACTATCTGAGAAGAGTTCTCTAATTTAAGAATTGTGTGAAAATATGTTACTGAAAGAACATGAACTGAGGAACTGTCCGTATGTGTAAGATCTGATTATGCACCACATTTACACATTCAGCACTCTTTTACTGGTGATATGCAATGCTATGTTGCACCATTATCTTCTTCTCTTATACAACATAATAAAACAAAAAATCTTATAAAACTTCTGAGTTTTAAGGTCCTCATGGTGTTGAATATGTAGATCCATCTTNTAATCTTCCTCTCACAATACTTGTCCAAAGGTAAGTTACTTTTATTACAATTCAGGCTGATCACTTTATTAAAAGGAATATGTTGTTTTCAGATCCTTCAAAAGCTTATTTTATTATAGAAGTTACACTACATCTCCCCCACCACTTCTTGTGCATACTGACACCTTTCTGTCTCATTGTAGAGGAAGCACTGTACTTACCCATGACATTTTGGAGTTGCACGCGCAAACTCAGGATCAATATTTGCCTCATACACTTTATTGACAATGGAATTACCAAGTTCAGCCATAACTTTAAGAATTTCAGGTTCCCAGGCATCCAGTGTGAGCGACCGTACTTTACTGTAGTGAACCCCAAGACTACGATGAACTCCTGAACACTCTATAGAAGAACAAACATATATTTATATTTAATCAATTCTGTATGCTTTCCTTGTGCAAGTATTTGAAATATCAGACGGTAAAAGTTACAGTTTCTACATACATATTGGTGGACTCTTGAAAACGTCAGTTAACTGTGAGTTTCTCATTACACAAAATCAATAATACTGTAGCAAAAATATACAATTCTCACATCTGCATATGTTCTCAAACCCTTATTTCCCTTTCAACCAAGCAGGCTGGTTTCCTGTAGCGTTCTTCAGTCCCTCCATGCAAATACTGAGATAGTATCGCAATCAGATCATTACGAGTACTACTTTCCAGCAGGAAAGTTCCTGGAATAGGTGAAAAAAGAAATGCTAGCTTAACTTACTCAATTTTGGCTGCCATCTCCTTCAAAATAGCCTCCTTGGGAACATATACAACAATCCCAACATTTTCTGTAGTTTTACTGGTGCTTGGTCACCCTGAATGTTCATCATCTTCAACTGACACTTGACAGGCCTTGAAACGTGACTGCCATTCAAAAACCGCTGTCTGGCCTAAGGAATGTTCTCCAAAACCCTGACGAAGCATTTCAAGGGTTTTGGTAGCAGATTAACCAAGCTTCACACAAAACTTGATGCAGACACGTTTAATTCTGCCATCCATCACAGGCAAAATAAAACATGAAGTAGTCAATAAAGCACTTGTGTAAAATCATTGGGTGTTCACAGTGCAGTGTCACGTGGTGGACTGATGCAACAGGCTTGCCGATGTGTGACCTTGGCCTCCCCTCTCATCTTCTTTCACTATGCAGTTACAACAATAATACTCTGGGAACTTTCTAATACACCTTCCCCCCAAATCTGAGTTCATCATTCATGTACCCCTGATCTGTTTAGCAATATACAGTCTAGATACTGACTGCATCACAAAAAAAAAACTCATAATTTATTTTCCTCTTGCTCTCATCGACATCCTGAAATTCTTACAATGCCAAAGGAGGACAGCTGTTTAAACAACTTACCAATACAAAGAGTAATTCCTAAGTTTATGCTGGCCCATCGTGGATTCATCATGCCACAGTCACAGCAGTGATCATTGCCTGGGATCTTCAGCAGTTGTTCCCACATTCTAAATAAATAGCCATAAACCAAACACCGTATTACAGCAAATTCAATCTCTCTTGTTATAACAAGAAGTTCAGAGCAATAAAATGAGACACTGTGTCACCTGGCCCTTCCAGTGAGAGAGCATTTTCACACTTTTTGTTGCCTCGACAAGACTTCTCTTCCTCTCTCACCCGGAGGTTCTAAATAACTACACATCTAGGCACCCTGCCTACATAACCTAGCCACATCCTCATCCTAATGACTTTAACCCTGAAGATCAAGACAGCATATTCCTCCAAAACATCAGTATTCATCCACAAGAACAAACAATGTCAAAAACCAGGAAACCATAATCTGAAATATACTCAACCTGTTCTTGTGCTGTCGCTCTGGTGAGGGCTTCTCTACAGGATCTCCAACAGAACTGCCACTGGGCGAGCGAGATGCACCACCATCCTTTGCGCCACCAATTCCACCACTACCACCAGTATTACCAACTCTGGAACAGACCACAGAACCTTCTTCACTAATACTTCGCTGTATTGCTGCTCCTATGCCTTGCTGCATTGCTGATATCCAACACTGATACATCTCATCAGAGTCTGCTTGCAGCATGTGACTCCTGAAAATAAGATGAGCTTATCACCAATATCAAGTGAGACTTCTTCAGCGTGATTCTCAACGAAGCAACAGTCACAGTTCTGTGGTCGCTGTTTTGGCTCTGGGACATCAGACTTGATTCTTGATCCAGTGTAACATCCTCAGAGCCTCCAGATAAAGGTTGGGGTAATACTTCAATGTTTTTCATCCAGAATAAGGAATCTCAGAGCTCCTGACATTAGTGGACTGGCAGCTAGATCTTAACTTGGGGAAAAGTCTATCATTTGGGAACAAAGCATTTCATGTCACGCAGTATTACACAGCTGCAGCTATATTTTAACTTGGGATTAGCTGTATTAGTAGCAGCTTGGTCAGCTGGACTGACACATATTGCAATAATGTAACACACAGCCATTAATGGTCAAAAACATGTCATGACAGTTTCATTCCAAACTCATAATTCATAAACATTCATAATCATCATTCTATCTGATCCCATATGGTCTACATACTTGAAGATGCACTGTTAAATGAACTGAGAATAAAAGTTATTCTGCTAATTATTTTGAAAATAAGAACTGTGATGCTTCAGAGAAAGACTTAATTGCCTACAAACTGACTGTCTACAACTCAAATCCTTCCTGTCCACTAACTTCTGCCAGATAAATGTAACTGAACCATGAATCTGACCATAAACTCCATCTAATGACAAGACCTTCAATCCTCACCCCATTGTGCCTTCATTGAGTGGCATTTTGGCAGACATGAAATTTTACATTTACCTTTCACAAAAAAAAAATACCCCGTTAGCCAAGTCACTGAAGACAGAATATTTGTTTAACTGAACACTTAGCAAACTCTTCAGTCAGATTATATGTTTAACACATCAAGCCTCAAAAGCAATATTCTGCTTCAGTGATTCCCAAACTTGGTAGGAGTGCAGGAAACTGATACTTGCATCTCTCTAGATTTTAAAGCCCACAGTTCATTCAATAATTCTTGGTAGTCAGAAACCAACAGACCTATGGAAAGATGAAATGTTAATCACCAGGACAAACAAATAATAATTATTATTTGCTGTTTTTTCTTCCAAATTAGTTTGTTGAGATTATAATCTCAACAAACTAATTTGGAAGAAAAAACAGCAACAAAAATGTTGCTTATCTTTCTCGTTGCAATAACATCAAAGAAAATAATTTTCTTACATATGCATGAACATTCAATTATTATCACTCCCATGCACTGTAACTGTACGTCCCTCACTAAAATTATTTAATTAAGGGTATCACCAATTTATGCATTGTTTTCATGCCCTGAGAGCCGTTACTCCGGCGAGATACCATCCCAGGACCACCTAGTTGTAATTCAACATTGTCCTCCTTAGGTCTATGGTGCCTCTACAGTCACTAACATTGCCAATTTGATTCTCATGTTATAAATCAGTGGGATAACACTGTGCAAGACTGGCCAGCAGGGGTCTTGAGTTCCGTCCTCATGTGCCTTGGAGACCTGAAAAGGTTTATGATGGACATCTTGAAAATAAAACGAACATGGAACAGATACCTGGCTTGACCTTTGGCTTTCTCTTGTTTTTCAGTAATGACCACTGGGGGACTTGTAAAAAAAAAAAAAAAGAGGCAGTCAGTTATAAGGAGTGGAAGTGGACAGGAGTTGAAATTTAGACACGGAACAAGGAAGGGGTTAGAGTCGGGGTTAACAAGTGGAATGTGTATGACCAGCAAGCTGGGAGGGTATTAGCGTGAATAAAAGTAATGAAGGCTGGAGTAACGAGCGAGAGGCAAGCTTGAAGGAGGGCTAATGCTAAGACTGACAATCACTGTACTCAATTGTAATTTTAAACTGTAATACACGGTGTTAGTCCTGGAGACCCCGTAAACCACAAACCCCTAAGTGTGTTCCCCTTCTGGTATCCAAAGCCCCTGTATCCCTGGGACAAAGGTCTCATCTCGAGCGAGTCATGGCACATGTACGTCGGCAGTCAGCTGAAACATTATTAGACATATAGAAAGAAGATAAAAGGTAAATTTATTCCTGTGTTTAATTAAGTATCAAGCTATGAAGACATATGGGGGAGTCAAGGTACTGATCCATGCATTTCTAACTTCGGCATTTGATGGACGGGAGTGGTCAACTTCATCCCTTGGCTGCTTTACCCCTGCAGAAGGAGATGCTGACAACCACTGGATAGAAGTCTGGGTCAGCCCAAGAGCCAGTATGGATATGGTTGAAAACAGAAAAATCTCTGCTTCTGTTGGGAATTGAACCCCAATCTTCAAGCCCATAGTCAAGTCTCTGTAGTGATTGAGCTAACCAAGCTCCACAGCTGTAAGATGCACATTGAGAATTTGGACAAATATTTGCACATAGAGTGACATTACTGCACCAACTGGTGAAGACAGAAAGGAACCAAGCCACTTCTCTATTAGTGTGATAAAAATATGAACGTGAGAGAGCCAACGATTGCAGAATTCTTACTTGGTTGGTGACAGAACCTCAAAGCAGAAGCGCCGATCTCCTTCAAGAACAGGTTTCACAGAACAAAGTCGCAGATCTTCTTCCATTACAGTCATTGCATCCTCACCTAAAAACAAAGACAGACTTTTAAAACAAATACAAGGCACAAGGAGTGTGTGCTATATACAGAACGAATCATCAAACTGAAGAAATGTGGGTACTGAAAGCAGCAATCATGGAACAGTCTGCCAAATAGACTTAACCTATATGCTTCAGATATAAAACACCTCCTCTGAACTTATGTACAAAATACAAAATCTGAGGTTCTCACAGCTGTAACATTGTGGACTGCAGTTTTCTGGGATGTGATGCCACGTTTGGTAAATAGGTGTCAACGTCTCAAAGAAACCAGCTCCCTCCATCTTTAGGGTGGCTTGTTGCCTGGAGGCAGCAGGTCTGTCCAACATACTGATACATATACACCCAAGCACAGAGCATAACATACAAGATGACACAACTTACTAACTGATGCATGCCAAAATATGTGGCAAAACTTGCCCTATGTCGTGAATTCGTGAACTGACTCGGAGTAGTCTGGCAGGTACATATACCAACATTCAAGAGGACCCTGCTGGCTCCATCTTCAGGATCCCCTTACTTGAATCTGCTTACAATACTGATAGTATAGACCACAACAATAATAATTACAACTGCAATAATAACACTGTGCAGGAAACAAATTGCATGGGAACTCAAAAAATTCCTGATTCAGTACCAGACTGTTCGCATGTCCTACATGAATTATACTAAGATCAAACTTGTACAGCTTACCCCACAGTTTCAATTACATGTTTATATATGGTTTCCCCTGCTCCACATAACCCTTGGTTATTATGGGGTGGTGCCCTTATAAAAAGTATACTAGCAAACAACCTTAACAATTAAAATCAAAGCAGGTTGACAAATCGATAATACTCCAGACTTGTATTTGGGAAGTGCCTGATTTGAACTTCGGCCACGACACCAGCTAGTATTGGGTTTTCATGGTTTTCCTCAGTCTCACCAGGAAATTCATCATTCACCTATCTTCCTATCACTTAATGCTACACAGTCTGCTATACCGACAGGACTGTTAAAATCAAATTTATCTACTACCCCACATTTCTACGCAGTTTTTATCAACTTACATCAGGAATTCAACAAGTACCAATTTATAACCACTGTATAAAATTCTCATGTTGGCAAACTTAAAAAAAAACTTCCAGTCATAGAATATCAGGTTAATAATTTAAAACACAACATATGAATCCCAAATCATGGCATTCCACCACCGTGAACAGTATATTCAACTCACCACTACGCTTCCTGTACACCAACTGGTTATCCTGCAAAGCAAACCAACGTCTATTCCAAGTTTTGAAAGCATTTGATGTTCTTTTGAAAAGATATCCCTCTATACAAGGTGCTCCATCGCGTCCTGGAGGTGGCACAAAGTCTCGACTTGTCACGTAAGTATGCCTATTCTCCATCTGTTTCTCCAGTTTGCCGCACTGTCATCGCATTTCTACAACCTGGAACAAACCAGAAAACCATGATACAGAATGTTTTTAAATGACCACCCAACTGCAAACAGTATAAAACAACATATTTTTTGCACATAACTGTACCACACAAGTCACAAATTTCCTGCTGTATAAATTTGGCTGGCTGATGTTTCTCTCTCTTTTTAACTTTTACCATAAAATTTACGACACAAACCATGAATTCGTCCAGACAGAAATTTGGGGCAAATATATATATATATATATATAAACCTCTTAAGCACAACATGCAAAACAACATCAAATTCAAACAAAATACATTCTTTTAAACAAATGATTATTTGTTATGAAAATCAGATATTGTGTTGATAACATGGTGGGGATATGCAGCTGGCAATTGGTTTATGTCCATGCGTCAGTGATGCAGAAGAACAGTGGTAGCATGACTCATGACTAAAAAAGTGTTTTATCATAAGATGACGTGAGCTGAAGCTATTTCTATAGACAGCATCTCCATTTGTAACATGGAAGGCCAAGTGATGGAACCTCACTTCCCTGTTCACTGCCCCGGCCTGGTCACTTGGTCTCTCATCACCAATTTGATGCCCCACAACTTTCTCTTGCCGAGTTTAGTCAAAATTCTGTGTGTGGGTGTGCCAAGCATGTGGCCAACTTAGCTGACTTCAAATGGCAGATCATTCCAGTGACGAGCTGAAATCAGTTATTGTCTAGGTATCTGTTGTGCCATGCAAAGAAAGCATGTGAACATGTGCTGAAAGAAACTTTCAAGTTAAACTTCATTTCAGTAATTTCTTTTTCTTTACCATGCATAATGGTTAAGGTAATACAGCCAAACCAAAGAGTGACTGACGGTACACCCTGTATATACAGCAACCAAAGGATGAGAATATCAAGTTATTCAGTTTATCCACATCTACTTTCAAGGATCTTACCTCAAAAACTAATAAAAAAATACAAATTCTATTCTGTTTCAATACGACAAAATCGTAAAACGTTGCAACAATCGACGCCAATGAAAATGGCAGAATTTTGCCAAACATATATGATGGACAAAGAATTACTGGGGTTTTGGACTCTTTCCATCATCCGGAATTTTAGGTAATAGAGGTCCAGTGATTGAGATTAGCTCTTTCTAAGGTGCACAACTGAGTAGGTGTCTTCCTTTCTCACCTGAAGACAGACACAGATCCAGTTTCCGAAACATCGTGCCCTCCATTACCTAAATTCCGGACGATGGGAAAAGTCCAAAACCCAGTAATTCTGTGTGTCATCCACCATCTTCAGAACCCTTTAGAATCTACTTATATATAATGGAGCAAAAACTTTGTTAAAATAACTAAAATGTATAATTCTAACAGCTGATTCCAATAGTTCGATTTAGTAACAGTATACTTACATCATCTGCCAATTTCTTGAAGAATGGATCCAAATCTTGGCATAAATCTGATCCCTGATGAAAGAAGGTGCTGCAAGCATGCATGAATGACAACAGCTGCAAAACAAGAGGAATACATAACTGAAACAGGCTGCAATATTCTTGACATAAGATCTGTGTATGCAACAAATGACGAAGAACACAGACAACCCAAAGAACCTGCACATTATTCCTTAACATTTCAGGCAAAGTGAAACTTCATTTAAAAAAAGTAATACAATCTACTGGAAAGAAATTGATTCCTACTTTCCTTTAATAACTTAATTTGGATAATGGATACATAAGAATGCACTGATAAAGTTGGCTCAAGCACTTCAAGCTTGAATTCATGAAGTGCACGATTAAATTTCTTCACTGAGGTTATTTGTCATTATCCATGGTCTCTCCATGCAAATACCAAGATAGTGCCATAAAATCAGGCCACGACCACTTCCTTCTACATTCATTCAAATTACTTACAAACTATCATCCAACAATTCAAGGCTATATTTGTGTGACCAAACTTACTGGATACTGGACCCACATATATTTTTTGAAAGGTCAGGAGACACAAACAGGCATGGACTGGATGACAGGTGTTTGGGTATATTTTTTTGTATTGCTAGTGGGGTGGGACTAAGTCCCTTGTACTGCGGCCACTTCTGGCCTTTTGTACCAGCCCCAGATGATAGGTGAGGGTGATTGTGGAGCAATTGGTGGAATGAAGATTGGCAGGGGAAACAGAAGTACTCGGAAAAAACCTGCCCCAGTGCCACTTTGTCCACCACAAATCACACTTGACCAGACCCGGGATCGAACCCAGGCCACNAGGCCACACAGTGGGAAGCCAGCAACTAACGACTTGAGCTTTGGCACGGCCGTAAATTTCATGGTAACTATATACAATGATGTATTAATGGGTCATCAGTCCTGTTCATGCTGAATAACAAGAAGTTCTAGAAAGAACTAACCACCTAGTTTCTTTTGATATAACATGGACCACACAGAAAACGAAACATCCAACAACTGTTCTGTTGTTTTGTGGGCATTTGTTGCCACAGTAACTTCTTTACTGAGCCACTGACTATCAGTGGTAGGGGGATATACATACAGATTAATGGAGGTTCATAGGTATGCCGCTGAGATGGGATCAGGTGCCAAGTTTCATAAGAAATGGTTCCGGCATTCAAAAGTTAATAGGGCGTGGTATACAGATACACAGACAGCATGATGGTGTCATAAGCCTACTTTCATTTTTTTAAGGAAAGTAGGCTAAAAATCATAAAGGACTGCTAATTGGATTCAGTCTTCAAAATAGCAAGACTTTATTCCATACTGATACTGCTGGTTCCACAGAAACATTTTTCTACAAACTTTCATTTACCAACATACATTCTCTAAGTGCATATACCGTATGTACAAAATTTTCAGGAAAAATTCAGAGACACTCAGTAAAAGTAAAGTAGGTAAAGTAAAGCTATCCCTGTACCAGGCTGTGAAGGCCCATAAGGTTGTGAGACGTTGAGGGTCCCACATTATCTAAACATTCAGCTCAAAGATGCCAGTAAGTTTGTCAGCCTTATGCGCCTGCCGTGCTTTACTCCCCAGGAAAATTATTTAATTAATTCCTGGTACTCATTTCTGTTAGAGGCTGAGTAAACCCCATGGCCTAGTGTGGCTGGAAGGATTAGGTCAACTGAAAAAAAACCAATGACCTCATCGGGACTTGAAACCGTGACCTTCCGGCTTGTAGCGTAGCCCCTCAACCAACTATGCCAGAAATATATATATGATTCTGTAAGCCAGGCACTGAATGAAACCGGGATCAAATAAAATTAAAATGTACGGTGCAAAAAGGTAGTTTAGGAAAAGCAAAAATAGTGTCTAACTAACTCTCAGCTATTCTAGAAATCCCCAGTAGTTTATAGAAGCCAAAGATTGCTTACCATGTTCACACCATGGGTTCCTGTCATGAGCCAGATGAATCCAGCCCACATTCTCCTGTCCTCTTTCCTTAAGATCCATTTCATAATTATCCTCCCATCTATGCCTAGGTTTTACTTTTCATCTCTTTCCTTCATATCTTCCTTGAAAAAACTTTGTAAGCATTTCTCATCCCTCCCATATATGCTACATGTCCTATCCAAATTACTGTCCTTGATGTGATCATGTGTATTTGGTGAGGAACACAAATTCCTCATCTGAAACCTTCTCCAGCCACCCTTCATTTCATGCCTCTTAGGTCCAGATATTCTCCCTAACACACTGTTCTCAAAACAGCCTCAGCCCATGTTCTTCCCTTAATGTGAGAAACCAAGCTTCACAACTATAAAAAACTACAGGCAGAGTGAGTGAAAAGCGATAAACATTTTAACAGCAGATAACATGACTTTTGTGTTACAAATTTACTGTGAATCCTTTTACAGCATTTATAAATTCAATTTTAACTTACAACCAATAAAATTAACATATTTCTGAATGTATGCCATGAATTTGATTTGTTTCATTCTGGTCCATCACACTAACAACTACAAAGGCAAAAATAATACTGTCTAATGTGACTATTTAAGTTTTATCACTTGAGGATTTATCTCCGTTACATGTTTCGATCCTTAACGGATCATCCTCAGAGGGCATCAATACTTTCGGAAACTACTAGTACAATAGATGTTAATTGTATGGATAGACATATGATGTCTAAAATGCACAATATATGCAATATTCAACCTTCCACATCCACGGCAGCCTTCTTGGTGTTAAAAACTTTTTAAAAAAGTTTATTTTAAAAACTTTCAAGATCAAGCTTAAAATTTATGAACCATACAGGTTTGCGTCAAATCTCCTATTGTTATTTGTGGACGTGGCTGGTCCTATGCCACCTTTTATCTTGCGAAAGGAGATTGTTAGTATTTCCGTGTTTATGCTTGGCCTGCTGTGTTGTTTACACTGAGTGAAATGTAACACTAACTCACTTATCTAAGGAAGTTACTGACAAACCTTGTCAAGTTTCCGTTCCAGCTGTTCAATATCGGCTTCTTGTGCTTCTAAAGTTGCACTGTAACAAAGGAAAATAGATCAACCATAAGTTGACAGCATGCTTTTCGCCAGTTATTTTATGATGATGTCAGTAGATAGATTATATAGCATCAAAAGGTAGAATGATTGATGACTGATAACTTTGAAAGGATCTGGAAGGAAGCGGTCATGACACAATCAAGATACTATCCCAGAATCTGCTNTGATGTCAAAATACATACAGAACCCACAGTAAGATTAATTAATCCCGTACTCAAAGTCAGAGATCATTAGCAATTACAATGAGGCAAAAAGCATGTCTAAGGCATAATTAGCAGAGAGATGTTACTTCATTTCATCACTTCACACTTGTCTCACTGAAAGCAAATGCATATTAAACACACTAAGTGAACAAGAAAGAATATGGCACAATGAGAACTGTTAACTGAACACGTTGGCTCCACTGTCAACACTTCTGACTTACATTAATCGACAGGTGCTCAGTTCAAATATCAGCTATCTATCTATCTATCTATCTATGGCTCTACAGCCCTCTGTTGCAGTGTTTGAGCAGGTGATGACAGTTCGTGCCTTAAACAGCGCAGCCATTGTGATCGGCTCTAATATCAGTCACAACATCAAATATCCACAGTTTTTTCAGTCATTTTCCTCAGTTTGTCTGGGTGAATGCCAGGATATTACCTTAAGCTAAACCATAGCTTCTTACTTCCCCACATTCGTATGAATTCATCATTCGCTACCATCCAATCACCTGACACTACATAGATGATGTGGACAAACTGTGGCTCGCAAGCTGAATTAGGCTCATCTGAATGTGCCTTGGGGGAGGGTCATTTTATCCCCGATATAAGAATGCATTAAACATACAAATCTGCTGTTTGGAAAGCACATACCAGAACATCTGTGTCATCCAGTCCATGCATGTATATGACTCCTAAAGGTTATTACATGCAGCTACAATGTTCAGTAACTTTGGCTACCCTCGCTATATAGTGGTTGAGGGGCTATGCTACAAGCCGGAAGGTCACAGGTTCAAGTCTCAATGAAGTCATTGGATTTTTTCAGTCGACCTAATCTTTCCAGCAGCACTAGGCCCTGGGGTTTACTCAGCCTCCAACACAGAAATGAGTACCACAAATTTATTAACTAACTTTCCTGGGGAGTAAAGTGCGGCCAGCGCGCAAGGCTGACAACCTTACTGCCATCTGTGAGCTGATTGTCTAGATGTTGTAGAACCCTCAACATCTCACAACCCTATGAGCCTTCACAGCCTAGTACAGGGATAGCTTTACTTTTTTTTTACTTTACCCTCGCTATATAGTCTGAGATACTGACAGTGACATTAAATAACCCATAAATAATAATGACAATAAAAAATAATGACACCAAACAGTTCAGCAGGCCCACACTGAGGTGTCTTGTTTTCTCCACTCTATACAAATGCTAGATCAGTACCAAAAAGAACACATGACCACCTTACCGTACACAATCATCTGCAAACTGAAAACTTTTATCAACTGAAGGTTAAGAACAGATCCATGAAGATGAAATTACCGTTCCTAAAACTTCAGGTTTCTTCTTTGCCTGTAGAGCACTGAGGCAGTACACATGATCAAGAGCTGTGTGACGAAAACATGAACGTGTCGCACAAAGCAGATTCTGTGCCTCCTCTGCCTCTCCGGGACGACTACGTGGCGCTTGCGAGTTTCGTGACAAGGCACCATCCAGGTCCACCGAGATCTTCTCAAAGTAGTGACGAGATTCACGCACACCTTTCATATCCCTGTGGACAAAATTTGGCACAATTGCACAAGCCAGAAGAGTAGTCCTACAAGCATCAGGATGGCTGACATGAAGTAACAGATTGAAAAAACTGAAGAGGATCATGACACAAGGCCATTCTGGTTCTTACTTCATGTGACAGCTTTACACTTTTATATGCAGAACTGACAGATAAATAGATCACAAAATGCTCATTCATAAGGAGCCCGATCCTTCGCCTTACAGAGAAGTCCAAAATTAAATCAGCTAGAAGTTATTTATTTAAAAAAAAAATTAAAGCTATCCCTGTACGAGGCCATGAAGGCTCATAGGGTTGTGACATGTTGAGGATCCCACATTATCTAGACAATTGGCTCAAAGATGGCAGTAAGGTTGTCAGTATTACGCACTGGCTGCACTTTACTCAGCAGGAAAATTATTTAATTCCTGGTACTCATTTCCGTTAGAGGCTGAGTAAACCCCATGACCTAGTGTGGCTGGAAGGATTAGGTCAACTGAAAAAATCCAATGACCTTATCGGGACTTGAACAGACGACCANACTGGACATAATTCTATTTAAAAATAGTTCAGTGACAGTATTACATATCCTTACCTGCAAACCATTCACGATCATTTTCCATCTCACTCAACTCTACATAAGCTTCTTTCCCTCACTTCAATGTTTCCACATCAAAGGATCTGTCTTAACAACCAAACCTCTCCATTTATCTCTGTCTTCCCAACGCTTCTTCCCCTCAATTTCCTCCAAACTTTCTGTGTAACATCTTTTCTAACCTGTCATTCCTATCTTGGTCTTTATCTTGACATTTGGCTTTTATTTCCATGTTGAAAATCCTCTCTTGGATTATCCCTTCATTCATTCTAACAGGCTGACCACACAATCTTATTTGGCACTGATTTCTCCTTCTCTACTTCTTAAAATTCTCACCTTGGCTGCTGTTAGTCTGTAAATATTTCCTTTTGTCCATGCCCATGTTTCTGCTCCCTAAAAATGGATGGCTGATAGCGATATGGTGAAGCTATGACAGGCACAGCAAGCAACAGTAAATTTTGAAGCTCATTTCAACAATCAACCTAACCATACAACCCCTACAGTTAAATCAATGTTGTTATATTATCATATAAATCATTCAATGACAGCATGTGGGATTTGTGGTGTACAAAGTGGAAATGGAGCATGTTTCCTCTAAGCACTTCAGCTTCCCCTTCCAATTCTCATTCCACTAACTGCTCCATATTCATTAATCTCCTATCCTCAACACCATATATTCTCTATACTGATGGCATTGTTAAATAACAAACTAAGACAAAAATTACCGCTACACCAAGATACTCAATAACATGACACGTAGATTCCACTTAACATACCAAACATAATACACAGCCATAAACAGTGAATATATATGTATTATGAAACATTTCCAAACTAGAATTCATGTCGAAGATTAATGTCTTCTGAGATGTGGAGCCAGGCCGCCTGTAGATCGTTATCAGTGATATGGAGGAACTTGGTACCTCCATCTTTGGTACAAAAGAGTAAGAGTGCAACCCACCAAACTACAGAGTGTCACATCCCTGAAGTCAGTAATCTTCACTACCATGAGAACCTCAAATCTTGAAAAATTCTTACCCTTTAATGAATGACATGAGATTCTTTAGAATAGTTCGCGATGCTTGATCCAGGAGAATGGAATGAAACTTGTTCATTTCTTGAAGTGCATGGATTAATTTGTTAAGGCAGACCACAACATCTGCATCCTCTCGAAAGTAACTGCTCAGGTCCCAGAGACTGTTAGTGAACTGACTGGCAACAAAACAGAACACTGTTAATGCAAACAGATGTGTTCCATTGGAGTCAATATAGTATTTTCAAAAGCTGTTTCTTACTACTTTTCATAACTCACTTGTCTTAATGTTCATTAATTTGGGACAAAAACACATTAATCAAACTACAGAGACCATAACCCACAGAATCAGAAATTATTCTTCCTGTACTACATTAAATATTCATCACATCAAAAAACATCTTATATAAAGGTGAAAATGGTTAGTCGCTGGCTTCCCAATGTGGCAGCCCGGGTCTAGTAATGTGGGATTCGTGGTGTACAAAGTGGCACTGGGGCAGGTTTTCTCCATGTACTTCGGTTTCCCCTGCCAATCTTCATTCCACCAACTGCTCCACAATCACCATTATCTATCATCTGGGGCTGGTACAATAGGCCAGTAGTGGCCGCAGTACCAAGTGGACTCAGTCTCACCCCACTAAGAATAATAATAATAACTTCTTGCAACATGAACCATTTTTTTAAAAAATCACAATTTTGAGTTTCGTGTAAAATACAGCTTACAATGACCTGATAACAGCTAAATGTAAAGCAACTGGTGTGCTTAATTAAACTCTACACCATGTAGACTTATGAGGAAATGAAGGTACCACTCTACACATTCTTAACCTCCTGATCACCTCCATGCCCCAGCCACTTTGCTGCCAGTATGCACTGGGTAGGAGGCTTAATGGGTCCCAGAGCCAGTACAGATGCTAAGGAAAAAAGACAATCTCTTACCCTTCCTTGGAATCTAATTCCATTTCCTTAGTCATCCACCCCCACAGCCTAGTCACTATACTGACTGAGCTACCCTAGCTCTTATATTGAATCTGTGTGGGACAAAAGTAAATGCACATAACAAATTTTAGTGTAATTTAGTGTTTATGAAATTTAATGAAAATCCATTCAGTAGTTTCAGATATATAACTTCTTTATTAAAACCGTCACAACACAACTATATCGAGGTCAGTGCCTGGTTTTGGCTCTGCTACATGTTTCAACTATTAATAGCCATCATCAGGCAAATATGTGGCTGACATATATACACCAATGAACTGAGGTATTAATAAAACTGGATACAATAATATTAATTATATCAAAATATTTGACATAAAAATATACTAAATTAGATTATATATAACAGGAATAAAATTCTTCGATTGATGCTTTACATCATCGAGTCAGTCGTTGGTTTTTGTGATTTTGTTTCGTTCCCATGGACAAATCAGAGTATTCTATATTTTGTGTACAAAAACTGTTATTGGAGGCTCGTGATGTAGAGGTAGTAATATTAGTGTTAATTCGTATTTAGTCGGTGCCTCATCTTACGAAGTATTGTCCNTAGCTCTTATATTGAATCTGTGTGGGACAAAAGTAAATGCACATAACAAATTTTAGTGTAATTTAGTGTTTATGAAATTTAATGAAAATCCATTCAGTAGTTTCAGATATATAACTTCTTTATTAAAACCGTCACAACACAACTATATCGAGGTCAGTGCCTGGTTTTGGCTCTGCTACATGTTTCAACTATTAATAGCCATCATCAGGCAAATATGTGGCTGACATATATACACCAATGAACTGAGGTATTAATAAAACTGGATACAATAATATTAATTATATCAAAATATTTGACATAAAAATATACTAAATTAGATTATATATAACAGGAATAAAATTCTTCGATTGATGCTTTACATCATCGAGTCAGTCGTTGGTTTTTGTGATTTTGTTTCGTTCCCATGGACAAATCAGAGTATTCTATATTTTGTGTACAAAAACTGTTATTGGAGGCTCGTGATGTAGATGTAGTAATATTAGTGTTAATTCGTATTTAGTCGGTGCCTCATCTTACGAAGTATTGTCCGTTCTATAGGGAATGTAAACAACAATATGTAACATTTGGACAGATGGACATGACTGGATATGTTCCCTTCATGCATTTTGTGTCAATAATGCATATTGTTTGAGTATGCCAAGGACCCTGAGAGCTATACCAGCGGTAGCGTAGCTACTGGCAGGGCCTCCCTTGCTGGACAGGTCAAAGGGTAGGCATCAGACGAAGAGAGACACCAAAAACCAAAAACTGATGCCGGAAGCAGCGTCATCAGCAGCGACTTGAAGCACAGAACAAATGATGCTCGAGATGGTTCAAGTTCGTATAGCAACAGGCGTGACCAGAGTGGTTTGAACGGCTGTTGTACTGCGATGTGGAAAGCAAATGGAAAAACTACCACATTATCACTTTTCCTGGATAGTCTCTTTCCAAAAACAGAAGATCACATTAAGTGGAGGAACTGTTTTGGAAGAGACTGTGGACCTGTCATCTGACAGTTACTGATCAATCAATCAATGCATAATGTTGATTGCAGTAATGATCTTATTAACCTCTTTGTTTCAGTGACCACATGTATCTGGTTTCCAATTTGCCGTGGACATGCAGAATTCAGGAAATTCTGCAGGCTTAGTGTTGAGAAACTTGGTCTCTGACATTAAGGGAGGAACATAGACTGAGGGTGTTTCAGAACAGAGTGTTGAGGAGAATATTTGGACCGAAGAGAGATGAAGTTGGAGAAGATGGAGAAAACTGCATAAAGAGGAGCTTCATAACTTGTACTCTTCTCCAAGTATAATTAGAATGATCAAGTCAAGGAGGGTGAGGTGGGCAGTTAATGTAGCACGAATGGGGGAGATGAGTAATGCATATAGGATATTGGTGGGAAAGCCAGACGGAAAGAGACCACAGGGAAGACCAAGGCGTAGGTGGGTGGACAATATTACAATGGATCTTGGAGAGATAGGATGGGATGGTATGAATTGGATGGATCTGGCTCAGGATAGGGACCAGTGGAGGGCTCTTGTGAACATGGTAATGAACCTTCAGGTTCCATAAAATGCTGGGAAATTCTTGAGTAGCTGCAGAATTGGTAGTTCCTCCAGAAGGGCTCAGCTCCATGAGTAAGTAAGTAAGTGTAGAGACAGTCTTTATTATATGCTGCCACATATTTTGTCCACAGTGGATTACAGAAAACGATTTCTAAATCCACTATTTGATTTTACCAATTTAACTGTGTATCATTACAGTCATGCAAGTCAAATGATCTTTTCTTAGTGAAGACATTTCAAAATCCTGTGAAGAAATGAATTTGGATGTAATTTTTGTGACAGTAGGAAAATGATTCATTAGATAATGACAAGGAAAGTGAACATGCAGACATTGCCACAAATGATTCAGCACTGGGACGGACTCCAAAATACACACACAATAGAGAAAATAATAATAAACTCATTCTAACTGCCCCATGCAATGTGTGGAAATTCTGCAGCCGTCTGGGCTACAGTGGTAATCAGAGAAGGGCTTATGTATTAAAACATTACTGTATCAAACTGTCTGATCTATGACAATAAGAAATCCATAATTATGAAAGGATGAACAATTGTAACAGTGAAATCGATTTATGACTATACAAAAAAGACATTCTTAACTGATTTTTTTTCATACCACAGCATTCTCTACCAATATGATAATTTGAGAGCTTTCACACAAACTTCAAAAATGGACAAAATAGAACAAATATGGCTTTAACAGCAACCATTAAGGATCAGACCATGTTCAAAGGCAACAGAGTTATAAAAAATGCATAAACATTAATTTTGTGGTATAAAACACACATTTAAAAATCCTTCAGACACTTCTACCTCAAATAATCCATAATGATCAATACTTCCAAATACGCAGATTGGTATGTGTCATGTCAATCTCACCTCTCTTGTGGCACATAACTCTTTCCTACATCAATCATCAATCCACACATTTTTAAAACCTGTGAAGACAAAATAAAATACATTATAACACATGGAATAACTTCCCAGTACAGTGTCTATACAGTATTTGAGACCCAATTCTTATATTCTCAGAAGCTGCTGTAAAATTCCTACTGCAGAATCCATAAATGAAATGCAGATCTATATATTATTCGTCAGTATATGTCAACAGCATAACAACATGTGATGCTACAAACTAGTATACCTCTACCTACATGCCAAGCATGTGTGTGACAAGATACGTGCTCAGCAGTACAGTCAAATGTCAGCTCATGTTTAGCTTCTGGCACTTATAAAGCCTTAAAAGGTCCATAACTCCTTAATTACTGGGAAAAGGCAAAATGACTCTTCTCTTTTTAACTTGTAATGACCTCCTCTGAATGCAGGTACAATACAGATGCTTTGGCACTCACCATCCTCCATATAGTTGTTTCAGAAATTTTGAGGGGTTTATTTACACAGTCTAAACATAACATATTCTACTCGAATCTCCTCCATCCCATCAATATTTCATTAGCTCTAGCATTAACCACGCTTCTGCCTACTAACATAATGCAAATGGTTACTGTGCTCTAAAGAGATTTATGTAGGCAAGAGTGAAATGTAGCACTAGCTCACTTATCTAAGGAAGTTACTGACAAACCTTATCAAGTTTCTGCTCCAGCTGTTCTATATCGGCTTCTTGTGCTTCTAAAGTTGCACTGTAACAAAGGAAAATAGATCAACCATAAGGTGACAGCATGCTTTTCGCCAGTTATTTTACGATGATGTCAGAAGCTAGATTATATAGCATCAAAAGGTAGAATGATTGATGACTGATAACTCTGAAAGGATCTGGAAGGAAGCGGTCATGACACAATCAAGATACTATCCCAGAATCTGCTTGGAGCGACAGAGGTGAACCACACAAAACTTCAGTCTGGGCAGCGAAGTTCTCAGCCGAGATTCCACCCAAACACCTCCCTAACACAATTCTAGAGAGTTACAGTAACACCAGCCTCCATTTGTCTGTGAGACCACTGTGAGCCACTGAGATGATCCTCAGGTTAATCAATAATGCTGTTTCAGTAAAGAGGCGTTTTCTTTTTTATTGCTAGTGGGGTGGGACTAAGTCCCTTGTACTGTGGCCACTTCTGGCCTATTGTACCAGCCCCAGATGATAGGTGAGGGTGATTGTGGAGCAATTTGTGGAATGAAGATTGGCAGGGGAAACTGAAGTAGTTGGAGGAAACCTACCCCAGCGCCACTTTGTCCACCACAAATCACAATTCAACAGACCCGGGATCAAACCCAGGCTTCCGCGGGGGGAAGTCAGCGACTAACTGCCTGAGCTATGGTGCGGCCCAAAGAGGCTATTTAGTGTTATATGAAATGGAAAGATGATTTAAAATGCTGAGAATTTAATGATCAGGAAGGAGGCAGCTGTGACCTCTTTCAAGGCATCTGTCTGTAGGAAATGTGGAAAATCATCAAAAACCCTCAGTAGTCTGTAGTGTGGCCAAAATCTGGACGTGTACCAATGAATATCCCCTAGTCATCCTACTTTCAATTCTGTAGAGTCTGTGCTGCTGATTGGGTCATTAAACACCATAAATAAAACAAATAAATAAATCTGACAAACCCTGAGTTGCTCTGACCTCTGATATTAACCCTTTAAGCTTCTTCTAATTAATATACAAAAATTCAGTTAGTATCTCACAGGAAACACATCAAGTCTTCATAACAAATACCAACTGGTTAATGCTGTTTGGGTGGAAAAGGTTATTTACTGTGAAAACCATACAAAACACACAAATACACCCTGTGAGCAGATTGCAGTTTTAGTGTGTTTAAAAGTAAAAATGTAAGTAAAGTTATCCCCTTAACAGGCCATGAACACCCATAGGGTTGTGAAATGTTGAGGCTCCCACATTTTCTAGACA